GGCTCCGAAAACCGGAGCTGCCCCGAGTTTGGGGCTCCGAAAACCGGAGCTGCCCCGAGTTTGGGGCTCCGAAAACCGGAGCTGCCCCGAGTTTGAGGCTCCGAAAACCGGAGCTGCCCCGAGTTTGGGGCTCCGAAAACCGGAGCAGCCCCGAGTTTGGGGCTCCGAGAACCGGAGCAGCCCCGAGTTTGGGGCTCCGAAAACCGGAGCTGCCCCGAGTTTGGGGGTGCAGAACCGGAGCAGCCCCGAGTTTGGGGGTCCGGAGCGGCCCCGAGTTTGGGGGTCCAAAAACCGGAGCGCCCCCGAGTTTGGGGAACCGGAGCCGGGAACCGGAGCTGCCCCGAGTTTGGGGCTCCGAAAACCGGAGCAGCCCYGAGTTTGGGRGACCGRGAGAGCCCCGAGTTTGGGGGTCCGGGCACCGCAGCTGCCCCGGGCTCTCCCGTGCCGAGGTTCTCGGTCCGTCCCCGTCTCCGGGGTTGGTCCCGGCCGCTCCCATCGCCGTCCCCGCGCTCCGGAGCCCCCCCGGTCGCGGCCCCGGGGCGGTGTCGCGGTGCGGGCGGGAACCGCGGGCTGAGTCACGGGCAGGAAACCGCGCGGTTGCATCAGAAGCGGTGCGGCCGGAGCAGCCGGAAAAYCGCGCTCCATCCCCGCCGGCAGCATGGAAAAAACCGCCGATCCCGGTTCTCCCGGTTCCCCGGGCTCCTCCGGCGCCTCGGCGGCTCCGCGCTCCGCGCCCGCGCTGACGGAGGAATTGCTGTGCCCCATCTGCTACGATCCTTTCCGGGAAGCCGTGACCCTCCCGTGCGGTCACAATTTCTGCAAAGGCTGCGTRAGCAAATCGTGGGAGAACCGGCGGCGCTGCTGCCCGCTGTGCAAGGAAAATTCCACCGCGGAGGATCTCCGCGTCAACCACACCCTCAACAACCTGGTGGAGCTCATCCTGAAGGAGGAGGGGAGGAGGAAAGGGCGCGGAGCCGCGCTTTGCCCGCTCCACCGCGAGGAGCCCAAGTTTTTTTGCCTGGAGGACAAGGAGCTGGCGTGTTTCGCCTGCCAAAATTCCAAGCAGCACCAGGGGCACAAGATGAGGCTGGTGCAGGAAGCGGCGGCGGATTTTAGGGTGAGGGGGAGGGAAAAAAAGGGGTGGAGGGGAGAGGAAACGCGAAATTTGGAGGATTTGGGATGAATTTGGAGGATTTGGGATGAATTTGGAGGATTTGGGATGATTTTTGGAGGATTTGGGATGAATTTGGAGGATTTGGGATGATTTTTGGAGGATTTGGGATGATTTTGGAGAATTTGGGATGATTTTTGGAGGATTTGGGATGAATTTGGAGGATTTGGGATGTTTTTTGGAGGATTTGGGATGTTTTTTGGAGGATTTGGGATGATTTTTGGAGAATTTGGGATGATTTTTGGAGGATTTGGGATGAATTTGGAGGATTTGGGATGGGGCGGCCGTGCTTCCCGGTGGGAATGGGGATGGATGCGCTGCTGGTTTTTGATGATCCTGCGGGAAAGGGGAGAGGGATGAGAATTCCCGGTGGTTTGGGGCCGGCTCGGGATTTGGGAATTGCACAATTGCCGCGGGGAGAGGGAGGCGGGCGCAGATCCAGAGGGGAGGAGGAGATTCCAGGAGCTGGGAATGGCGCCAGGACGCGCTGGAAAAAAAGCGGCGGTGACGCCCTGACTCATGGCGGGGGTCAAACTGGCGGGAAAAAATTGGCTGGGGTTCGTGGGAATGGAATGGGAATGGGGTTGGGAAATGGGAATGGGATGGGAATGGAAATGGGAGTGGGAAATGGGAGTGGGAAAAGAAGGGGGAATGGGAGTGGGGAATGGGATAGGATGGGATGGGAGTGGAAGTGGGGAATGGGATTAGGAAGTCAGGAATGGGAATGAGAATGGGAAATAGGAGTGGGATGGGGATGGGAATGGGAGTGGGAATGGGAATTTAAATGGGATTGGGGATGGGAATTGAAGTGGGATTGGAATGGGA